GAGCGCCGGGAAAGATGGCGGCAGCTGCGGTTTGAATTCCAGCGGCGCCGTCAGAAGCTGAACAGGAGCTGGGTTGGAGGGGGCGGGGACCTGGGAAGCCCGGCAGGTCGCAGCAGCTGGGGGAACCCGTGGCGCCGTCGCTACGCACACCAACGCCACCACCGCCTCTGTGTCCATGATGGACTCGGGGCTGGAAAAGGACGTCACCCTCCCCGGGACTCTCAGCGGTTGCAGGTGCGGCCCCGAGCATGGGGGTTCGCGGTAACGAAGCCTGGGTTCCCGCGGGTGGGAGTTGACTCCGTCGGGGCTTCTGAGTTTGCCTCTCAGGGTGTTCGCTCGGGTCCGGCCAGGGGTGGTGTGCGGGGTTGGTTCCTTCGTGGAGAACCTCTTTGGGGGGCCCACTGGCTGATACCAGGTGTGAGAGGGGAGTCTCGGCCTCTATCACATTCGCCTCTAATATTTGGGGAAATTCTTTGGAAAGGGCTTGAAGAACAGAGAAGGGGTTTTCTGAAAGAGCGGGACGAAGGGGGACACTTGGAGTATGTCATTACTGGGATCTGGTTGAGAGACAGGGACCCTGAGGGCATTTGAGGCTCATTCTGGTTTGGAGGTTTGCTTTCATTATGGGACGTCTATTGATGTCCAGACTTGACTTCGGTTCTCCCAGAAGGGAGGCCATGGATTATTACTGTGGGTAAGAGCCTTGTCTGGAACTGGTCAGAGTTGGATTCAAAGCCAGCCCTGTAAACTGGACTTGGTAAAGTGACTTGTCCTACTTTTCCATCTGTAAAGTGGGCCAGTGGTAATATCTGCCCAACAGAGTTGGGGTGAGGATCACAAGAGGCCACGTGTGCCCAGCACTTAGCTTGGCAAATGCACTGCCTGGCACTTGTCAGTGCTTAAAACTGATCCCATTATTATTATTATTATGACTATGTCCAGCAATAGCCATACTAATTGGGGGATAAAGTCTGAGAGTAGCCTCCCAATGGATCTGTCCCACAAGGTGGCTGGAGTCCCCGTTGCTGGAGGGACCAAGGTCTCTCCTGGTAGGAAGACCTGATGGAGCTCTAGACTGCTCCAGGACTGGGCCCTTGTGGTTGTCCTGGGCTCCTGGCTGGAGACGGGGGTAGAAGGAAGAGGAGAGCTGTAACCCAGAGCCTTCAGAGTTGGTCTGGCTGCTTTTAGTCAACAGTCTTTAGTGGAATGGGCGGCCATGATATGCATTATGCCATCCAGGTTGCTTTTCAGAATGAAATGAACACAATATTTGTCCTATGATGCACAGACCTGGACAGTTATTCTTTCAGTTGAGAACCTTTGTGTGTCAGGCACAGATCCTGGCCCTTTTACACTTCCCACCTGATTGAATCCTGAGATAGTTCATCATGTCCCTCTCTGTCTGTCACCACTGCCCAGATATGTCAAGGTATATATCTTACCCGAATTGTCCTGGCTTCCTTCACAGACCCTTTGTATTTTACAGCTTGAACCCTTTTAAAAATAATTATTTAATTAATTTATTTACTTGTTTATTTTAATTCGACCAGAAAGGAACAGAATGAAAGGGAGAGAGAGAGGGAAAGTGAGAAAGCAAGCTGCCAGGTCCAGGACTTGAATCATAGTTGGCCATGTGTGAATCCAGTGCCCTTAATCACCACGCCTCTTGCCAGCCCCTGAACACTTAAAAAAAAATGTACATCTGATCTATACAGTCTGCTTTTTTGTACTTTCAGTGGTTCTTATTGCTGTTAAGACAAAGTTCATTGGGGTTGGCAGATTGCGTGGTGGTTGGGGTGCTGGTCTCCCACATGGTCAACCACAGTTGGAGTCCTAGACCTGGTGGCTTACTTTCTCACTTTCCCTCTTTCTCTCTCTCTTTTTCTCTGGTGAGTGCACGTGCCCTATAGCAAATAGAAAATAATAATAATGATAGATAAAAAAATTAATTTTAGCAACAACAAAAAAAGGTAAAGTCCTTTATTATCCTCTCAGACAGTTCCTTTAATCTCAGTGCTCCATGCCTGAACACTTGCTTCTTGGAAGACCCAGATCTAACAGGGTTTCAGTCCAGTTCTACCACTTAACAACCCTGTCACGTTGGGCAAGTTACTCATCCTCCATGAGCCTCAGTTCACATTGTCTGGAAAAAACAGGTTGGTATAAAACCTGGGTGAGAATAAGGATCAAAATGTGTCTTAAAAAGTTTAACCCAGGCACCAGCAGTTGGCGTAATGGCTATGTTGCTGGACTCCTGTGTGGTTGACTGTGGTTCAAGGCCCCCACCTGGTGGCTTAAAACTCACGCTGGGCGCATGTGTGTGCGTGCCCAAGATCCCAAGAGGAGAATGGAGGAGAAGAGATTGCAGCGTGGCCAACCCCCTGGGGGGTGATTTCTTACTTTCTGTGTGTCTGTCCCTCTGTCTTTCTAGTGAGCGCACGTGCCCTATAGAAAAACCTCTCCAAAAAAACAAACAAACAAACAAACAAAAAACGTTTAGCCCAGCACCTGACCCTGTATTTACTCCCCTAAATCAGCAAATAGTCTCCATTCCCTCTTCTCCCTACCTTTGCAGACCCAGGTCCCATGTGCATTCCCGGTAGCTAATCTCTTATTCACTTGCTTTAGACCTCCCTGGCTCCTCGCCGTCCTCAGGATGAAGTTCCTTAGAGTGACTTCCAAGGTCCTTCTGACTCTGGCTCCATCTCCTCTTGCCTCCTCTCTCCTTACTCTCCCAGCTCCATCTCCTCCGCAAGCCCTTCACTATGCCAGGCTGCCAGACTGTCATGAATGAGCTCGCCTTGTTCTTTCTCACCTCTGTTCCTGCTGCTGGGATGTCCTCTCTTGTCCCCTTTGCTGTGTGATCACCTTATTGTTTCTTATAAAATGCCACCATCAGAGCCTCCACTGATATTCCCCACCCCACCTGAGCCCTCTGTACTCTTGTAGCTACCTCCGCTGTCATTGACCTCACTGCATTTTATTGACCAGCACCGTCCAATAAAAATACAGTATAGATGGGGCCGGCCAGTGGCATGGGCGTTAGGGTGCTGGACTCCCACATGGTCAACTCCCACATGGTTCGAGTCCTGGACCTGGCAGCTTGCTTTCTCACTTTCCCTCTCTCTCTCTTGTTCTGTCCTTATCTGGTCAAATTAAAGTAAATAAAGTTAAATAAAATAATTAAAAAAAACAGCATAGAATTTTTTTTAAAAGGATTAAAAAAAAAAGGGCTGGAAGATGGCATGGTGAAGGTGCTGGACTCCCACATGGCTGACCGTGGTTTGAGTCCCATACCTGGCAGCTTGCTTTCTCTCTCTGTTTCTCTCTCTTGTCAAATAGAATAATAATAAATAAATAAATACAATTAAATAAATCATTCTTTAAAAAAATACAGCATAAGCCATGTATGTAGTTTAAAATTTGCTTGTAGCCACATTAAAAACAGTAAAAGGAGGGCTGGTTCCATTGCCTGCTGGTTAAGGTGACTGGATCCCACATGGCTGACCCCATGGTTCTAGCCCTAGTCCAGGACCCAGCAACTTGAGAAACCTGCTGGTATGTGCGTGTGCATGCCCCACATCCCAAGAGAGATGGAGGGGACTGGATCATGGCGTGACCATTTCCCATGAGTGATGCCTTCTCCCTCTAGCCAAAACAAAAGAAAATGAAAACACAAAACAAATGAAATAGTAAAAGGAAATAGATGAGATTAATATTTTATTTATTTATTTTTTTAATTGCCAAAGGGCGTGTGTACTTGCCAGAGAAAGAGAGGGGGCGAGAGTGAGAGTGAGGAAGCCCCCTGCGCCATGCGGCCTGCTTCTGCTGCAGTCCCTTTCCCTTCCATTTCTTCATCCTGTAGGGTCTTGGACACATGTGCACATGGGTGGTGTATTTTGTAGCTGCTCGGGTTGGGACTTAAGTCACAGTTGCCATGCAGGATACTGTTCCCTGTGCATAACCCTTTAACCACTGTACTGTGAGGCTGGCCCGACAATTTAATGTATACCTCCAAAAAAACCTAGTAGAGCAAATTTCAAATGTGCACAACATAATTTAACATTAAATGTTGAAGATGACGAACACGTTTATATCCTGATTTGATAATTAAGCACTGTATGCATGCTTTATTTTTTCAAAATTTCTTATTTAATTCCATTTGTTGTTATTATTATTTTTTAATTGGACCAGAGAGAAACAGAGAGAAAGAGAAAGGGAAAGTGAGAAAGCAAACTGCTGGGTTTGGGACTTGAACTGCGATCATCCATGTGGGAATTCAGCACCTTTAACCATTATGCCGCCTGCCAGTCTCTGTATGCATACTTTGAAAAACCATACTTTCTCTCTGGTCAAATAAAAATAAATAAATAAATGACATTAAATAAATAATTCTTTTTAAAAAATACTGTACCCCACAAAGATGTATGATTTTATGTAAATCAGGAATTACAATTAAAAAGTTCATACAAATGCATAGATTTCAGAAAAAATTTTTGCACCAAAATAAACTCATACTTTAATTTCATTTTCCATGAACTTTCTGAAGTCCCTTCACTTATGTGGCTAATGGCTCCTGGATTGGACGGTGCAGGTGTTGACTGTGCACTTACCTGTCTTCTCCCAGATTAGACTGTGATCTGTTTAAGAGCAGGGAGTGCGTTTTGTTACCCTTGTAACCCCCGTTATCTGGCACATAAGATAACAAACAGTACCTGTTTGTTAAATGACTGAAAAAATGATCTTTTGAGATGATGGTATTACTTCTTCTTTACAAGGGACACTGAGGCTCAGAGGTGACGTGAATGGTTTGGGATCACACAAAAAGTACAGTCGAGTCAGGATTTCAGTCCATGCTTGCTGACTCCACATCCTGGCTCCCAGCGCCCTGTCCTGCCTTCCAACTAGTTAGCTCTCTGACCCAATTCTGACAGAGAGGATTCTGGGAGGATTTTACAGGGCTCCTTGAACTGGCCCTTAAAGAGCGGAAGACAAAGCCAAAGACAGGTTCTCCATCAGCTGTTCACAGTGGGGGAGGAAAACCCCTAGGAAAAAAATCACCCCTTTTTAATCTAATATACTGCTTTCTGGGACTCTTCTGCTTGGTAATTTCCAAGCCCCAGTTTTAGAGACTAATCTGGAGTCATTTGTTGTTAGATGTTGGTTGAATTAGGTCACTATGTGTCATCCCCTCCAAACTGCACCACCTGTGGGTGCCCCAAACAGCTCCCGGC